AAGCCGTTCACCGGTATATGGTGACGTCTCTATACGAGCGAAAAATTCTCGAATGGGACGTAAAACAACATACAATCAATCAATCATTTTAGAAACAACCATAGAAACTTGGTGTAGATACAGAACTACCTCAATGTTTTTTTTTATTTGACCGGTATTTCTGATCTCCAAATCACGTGACTTAGGTGATCAATGTTGAAAAACAAACATCAAAATCATAAAATAGAATGATCAAATTAAATAAATAAAATTAAATAAAATCATAATTTAAAGTGAGTTTATCGTAGGCCGAAAAATGACCTCATAGAGAATCGTACTTTGTATAGATAAAGGAATATGCTTTAAAATAATATCAATGGGACTAGATTAGTATTGTTTAAATTGATAATGATAAATTGAAAATATTAAGAAGAAAATTTAGAAGAAGAATATATAACGAGATATTAACATGGTACAATGCATGTTTTACTGCTACTGATGGATATTTAACTGTTTCCTGACACCTTGAAGTAACATTTAGAATTATCGAAGCAGAAGAATCATTGAATAGAAAAAAAAAAATTCTACATGATCTTTAAAAATACAATAGCTATTTCGCCTCATGTTTAGAAAATAACGTATATAAACACCATGAATAACTATGGCATGTCAAACGTTGCAATATTCGATCTTTTCCATTTGCATTGTATAGTTTTCCATTTGTATTGTATAATTTTTATTTATATTCTATAATTTTCTATTTGCATTATATAATTTTTCATTTGTATTGTATAATTTTTCATTTGCATTGTATAATTTTCCATTTGTATTGTATAATTTTTATTTGTATTCTATAATTTTCTATTTGCATTGTATAATTTTCTATTTGCATTGTATAATTTTTATTTGTATTGTATAATTTTTATTTGTATTGTATAATTTTTCATTTGTATTGTATAATTTTTCATTTGTATTGTATAATTTTTATTTGTATTGTATAATATTTCATTTGTATTGTATAATTTTTCATTTGTATTGTATAATTTTTATTTGTATTGTATAATTTTTCATTTGTATTGTATAATTTTTCATTTGTATTGTATAATTTTTATTTGTATTGTATAATGTTTCATTTGTATTGTATAATTTTTATTTGTATTCTATAATTTTTCATTTGCATTGTATAATTTCTTATTTGTATTGTAAAATTTCTTATTTGTATGCGATAATTTTTCATTTGTATTGTATCCGCGGATTGTTTATTTGTTTCGTTACGAAGGATTTTATTGGTCAAGTTTCAGCCTGTATTGGGTTGAAGATGTTCCGGGTGCTCAAACAAATTGGGCTCATATCACAGGCACTTGTTTCGTAGACGGGGCACCCCTACTTATTTCTACCACTGTGGTAAAAATAATAAGTAGGGGGTGCCCCGTATAGGAAACAAGTGCCTGCGGCTCCTATGTATTTGCGTGCATGTTAGACGGTCATTGGATTCTAAAAGGGAGCGCTGGCAGATGGCAAATAAATAATCTGTCCTAATAGAAATGTTGACTGAGAAAATAAATAAATTAACCTTGAGTAGTGGTACCCCCCCCCCCCCCCCCAAGAAACTGGGTTTTCGGGTTTGGTCGTCCCTTAGCATGCACGCAAATAGAGGAGCCGAGATTGTGTTTGTAGAGAGTGCGCGATCGGAATTGTTGGAAGGGTACTAGACTAAGTTTGTGTTGGGCACCTGAAACCTTTGTACAGGTTAGTGACCAATGACATCCTTCGTAACGAAATAAATAAACAATCCTCGGATACAATACAAATGAAAAATTATCGCATACAAATAAGAAATCATACAATACAAATAAGAAATTATACAATGCAAATGGAAAATATAGAATACAAATGAAAAATTATACAATGCAAATAATTTTTTTACAATACAAATGGAAAATATAGAATACAAATAAACGTTATACAGTCCAATTGGAAAATTATAGAATTCAAATGGAAAATTATAGAATACAAATAAAAATTATACGATACAAATGGAAAATTATACAATACAAATGAAAAATTATACAATACAAATAAAAATTATACAATACAAATGGAAAGGTATACAATACAAATGGAAAAGATCGAATATTGCAACGTTTGACATGCCATAAATAACACTAACACGATCATACACTTAAAATTGAAACCTGCTATCTTCTGAATTTGGACCTATATATTTTGAAAAATAAAATCCCCTATGACACACATACTTGTTAATTTCAAGTACAATGTATCTTTAAAAAATCGTGAACTTCTAGTTTATCTTATAGGAATCAAACAGCATATAGATCACAACAGTGCATCTAAAGTACAATCTCATCCGAAGTACCCGCAAGTACAATGCACGTAGATTAAAGGAGAAACGGAAAATAGAGCTGATATACAGATCAGGAAGTAAATGTTTGGAGATGAAAATATCAGTCTATATGCAAAAGCAGTAGCTGGTTGCTATTTTATCAACAGATACTGTAGTTTTCTCAATCAGAACATTAAATGTTAAACAGTAGTTGCAATAGTATGTAGGAATGTATTTGTAACACAACTAGAAAAAATTAAAACAAATGAATATTCAGTTTAATTCTGATAAAATGAAATCAATAGAGAAAGAGTATTGATGAACAATCGTATAAAATAATTAATAATTAGGATTAATCTCAGGAAAAGGGATTTTTGGAGGTGGGGTATTTGTGTTGTTTTTTGTTTTTGTTTGTTTGTTTGTTTTTTTATTTATTTATTTTTATTTTTATTTTATTTTATTATTTTTTTTTTTTTGGTTTCCCATGCTTTGTTTTCTTTTTTGTATTGCATCGCGGTTCTTTAAGACTGAAATGTCGCACCATACCCAGATAAACTAGTTTTACCTTCCTTGTCAGACTGTTATTAATTATGTGCATATAATCAATGAACACAATGTCTCTTGAAAGACATATTTTAAAGAATGTACTGTTTTTAGTAGGAATTTCTCTTTCAAATGGATATGGTATGTACTGCATTCTGTTATTGAATACGTCGCGTTTTTTATGATTAATAAGAATGACTGAATTGGAGTACGGTGTTAAATATGCAGACTTGTGAAAATAACACATTCATACGGCCATTGACTGTTTCACGATGACTGTGATGCTACTCTTGTGCAGGGCAAAATGATATTTTTGGTAAAATATGACGTAAAACTAATTGTTTAATATATGTCATTTAATTTTCTGTCAACAAGAACGTCGCCAAACAATATTAATTTGCCCTGCAAAACAGTAGTACCGCAGTTACCGTGAAAGGACTAATTGTGTTTTAAGTATACACGAATTTAACAAAAATGTTCGAAGAAAATAAAGAAAAGTAATTTATTGGGAAAGGCGTTGAAAATATCAACAACAAAAAGTTATACTAGTATCACGAGTACTAAAATTCAAAACATTGAGTTGCCTGTTTATAATATTTGATTTTCCTGATGGCTCTGACTTTTTCGTAAAGCTGTGTGGTTTACTTTACCATCAGGGTTGAGCAGTTGAAACGGCATAAGTACATGTAAGCGATTGAGAGATTGAAATTCGTTAACATTGATTTTCACATTTTTTTTGAGAAACTTTGGCTGATTCCATCTCTATTAAGATAGTTTACTCCTTCTCGCTATCTTACAATAAGCTGGGGATATTTTTTTTCCACAATACTTTTCGTGAAGGAATTCAAAGGAAAGTTCTAATATTTTGCCGCACTTCTGTTATACATGTATTTTGAAATTTCTTTTGGTAGGAATTTTTTGATACGTCAGAGAAAAGAATAACGTGAATATTTGTTCATTTCAATTTTTTTCTCAGCGTATGAAATATTTCCTTTAAAAAATGTTTTGTTTAGAATAAAAAGTTTATAATTCACCTGAGAGGTTTCCAATTATTGTAAGAAGCTTTAAGTGGAGGTGTATATAATAGATTTATTATTTTAACAGTAATTTGATCCGAAAAGCTGTATCACGTCTATTTGACTGGGGCACATCATCAGATCAAACTCGACTTTTCGCGTTTCGTATTGACGCCTGTCAACTAGACTTGATACGGCTCTGCGAATGAAGTTGCTTTTGTAATAATAATAATTTATCTCACTGTTGAAAATGTAAAAATTGAGAATAATACGAGGGTTGTTCGGAAATTTGTGGACTACCGTACTATAACTTTTTTACTAAAAGTCATATTATATCCAAATTTGGAAGAAATGTTTCAACAGTAAAACTCAAATCATGTGTATTAATTTTTTTAAAATATTGTGTTTTATTTCAAACTGATTTAGACCTCTGTCTGAGGTCATATCTTCTGTCAAATGACACAAAAACGGAAAAATTCCACACCTTCAAATTAAGATTTGTTTCATCGATTGTGTTTCCAAATTATGACTTGATATTTTGCTGCGTTGAAAAGAAATCAGTTTCAGAGGATAGGTAGTCCTCATTGAAAAAGGCAAAAAAGAAGACGTCGTAGAACGTCAAGGAGCAGCAGTTAACCATACAATTTTGTGTTGTACTTTGGAAAACTCCAGAAAAAACTCTGAAAATGCCGAAGGAAGTAGGAAATATGTCAAAAGCGAGCAATGCATGTGTGTGTACGTGGTACAAACGGTATTTGAATGATAGACTACTTTGAAAAGACGATAGTGGTCTGTGAGAAAAATCTTATCAAAAACATTGAAAAGTTAATAACGTCATGCTAGGAGTTTGACGCTTCACAGATGCTGATCTTGTGAAAAAAAAATATAACACTGACAGACAAAATGATGCTACCTGGAGCAATTATTAGCAAAATAGATTTCAAGTGATGGAGAAACGTTTTTACTGTGAATTCTATTAAATTACTTGGAATGAAACTTCACACTTAAAATAAATATTTTTACATATGATAATATGCTCATTTTGAATTTCTTGAAGATGGTATAACGAAGATTGGTATAGTCCACGAACTTTCCGAACAACCCTCGTACATGGCAAAATGGGGTGTCACACACCATATCAACCCGAGACTCCAATATCAGCCCGAGGACCTTTGGTCTGTGCGATACAGATTTTGTCATGTATTTTTCTTTTATTACATGTTTGAAAACAGTGTCAACAATTCATCAATTCATGTGAATGCATATCTTGTAATTGAATGTTTTCTTCTCTTATTGTTGAATTCACATTTCTCATTATTTTATCCAAAGGTTATAAAGTCAGCGATAGGAATTAAATACTGTTATTATTAGTTTAACAAAATTATTAATTTGATAAAAGAAAATTGCAACGCAGGGGTAATAAGGAAGCATACAAAATATTCTACCTTGACTTAGTCAGTGCTACATTATGACGTCATAGTAGGCGAGATGACGTCAATTTTAGAATACAAGTTTTCGTAATATTCGTATTTAGAGATGTAATTTAACTCTAGAAAATGAATAGAAACGTGTAAACATTAACAAAAATAAAATGTTTTTATTTTGTTATGCTGTATCTGTCATTTTGATTAAAATCTACCATCGATGACGTCATATGTGTACTTCAAGTAACTTGGGAATTGATCATGTCGTGTAAAGAGAATTTGGCTAAGACGGCATGTACAAAGATACGTAAAATGGAGTTTAAAAGCAAATATCCTGAATATTTTGTGAAATTCATATGGAGTTCAGTTACTAAAACAGGTATGCTAATTTATTTTCATCGATTGTATTCTCTTCGAAGACAGTCAGCTATATACGTATCCCGGTCGGCCTTTCCTCTGTCATTTGTAACAAAAATAATGCAGCAGAACAACAATAAGCTGTATATTTCAAAACATAAGATTTGTACAGATGGAAAGTTTGCCTCCTAAAATACTTGGAAAGTGCTGCTAGAATCCCGAGTTAAGCATGGTTTTACGAAAAATCTCGGTTTATATGTATAAAATTCAAAACATCGGTTAAGGTTTCGTGCGAATGTGTGGAATTATTATTTTACTGACGGGACAGTGGGATTCTAGCAGCACTTTTTAGGCAAAATAGATGTTTTCCAACTATATTATTTACTCAAAGAAATTATTACACTTCGGGGTATTGTTGTTCTGTTAGCTTTTTTACTAAGGAAAATTTCGCTATTAATAGAAGTCACGTGATGCCGTGGTGGTGGTGCACGTCTTTGCGTTAGACACTCTTTTATCTTTATGCAATAGATAATAATGGTTTACATTTATCAGCGGTTTTGGTAAATTATCAAACTTAATTTTCTTTAAAAAGTCTAAATTTCCAGAGAATTGACTTATATGCTTCCTTAACATACCCGCGAAATGAAATGACCGATAGAGATTCGAAGTAATTCTACTTAAAGGTACAGAGGTGTTCCGGAAATATGCAATAGACCCTTTCACGGTATTTGCGGTGCTGCTCTTTTGCAGGGCAAATTGATATAGTTTAGTAAAATACAATGTAAAAGCAATTGTTTAATATAAGTCATTTAAACTTCGCCAAACGTTATTGATTTGCCCTGTAAAAGTATAGTACCGCAGTTATCGTTAAAATACCAATACATTCTGCGTAATACAGGCTGCGTGTCTGTGTTCATATCAGTAATGCAAAAACCCTGTATCAAATAAAAAGTATATCGTAAAATTCATTTCATAGAAAATAATTATGAATTTTCTTCTCCTTATCGATTTCATGTTTGTTTATTGTCCCTTCGAGAATTTTTCACTCATATTGAGATGCCAACACTTGCTGGTGAAGAGCTGCCAATTTAGAAATGTACTCGGCACTTCTGGTTTTTGGGCAGTGAGGCATCTTTTTCTGGTCAGCACCTACTGCGACACGGGACCTCGGTTCATACGATCTCATTCGAAGGACCCGAAGTGGAATTCGAACCCATGACTTAAGGATCAAATCCTTACTCCGCGACTCTAGAACAAACACTCTGACCACTGCGCCACGCAGGCAACTTTCCTTTTTGAATTGCTAAACTTAAATTGATTTTAAATTACCCGAACAAATGAATTGATTATTAAATTTGAGATATTTAAACAAGATGTGTTTGTGAAACACTGATGCCCCCGTATGGCAACTCATAACAAAGGTTAAACTTTCTCAAATGCAAATCAAATATGTAGGTACCCAAAGTAAGGTCTTGTTTCGAGGAATATACCTGTGAAATATGAAAACCCTAGCACCAACCATTGAATAGATATGGAAAAGGTTAAAGTTTTTCAAAAGTGAGTCAAACATCAAAGTCAAGTTCAAATGGTCAAAATTAATGGTGCCCAAGGAAAAACCTTCTCACAAGAAATACACATGTGAAATATGAAAGTCCTAGAACCATCTGTTCAAAAGTTATGGCCAAGATTAAAGGTTTTTTCAAAAGTAGGTCAAACTCCAAGGTGAAGGTCAAAGGGTCAAAGTTGTTGGTATCCGAAGGAAGGTCTTGTCACAAGGTACACACATGTGAAGATTGAAAGCCCTAGCACCACTATTCAAAAGTTATGGCCAAGGTTAAATTCTGAAAAAAATTAGCAAAAGTGGGTCAAACTCCAATGTCAATTTCAAAAGGTCAAATTTTATGGTACCCAAAGAAAGAACTTGTCACAAGGAATACACATGTGAAATATGAAAGTCATAGCTCCAACCAATCAAAGTTATGGGCAAGGTTAAAGTTTTTGCGGACAAACAGACAGACAGACGGACGGACAGGGCAAAAACTATATGCCCCCGAATCCTCGATTACGGGGCATAAAAATACCATGAATTAGGAATTTCATTGAATTCAATATGTACCATACTATAATCGCACCCCTCCTATATTTTATCGCTAGTTAATGATTCAGTATAGCAGAAAGCGTATGCAATAACTACATTTTCTTTAAAAATTGGCAGAGTCAAAAAACATACGGAAATTCTGAAATTTTTTGCTACGATTGAAATAGGTCTTTATTCCTGCGTTTCATACTTGTCCAGAATATTGAACTAATGTTGGACCTGATAAATAGATCCCCTACTCCAAACAAACCAATGTCTCTCTTTCTTTTTTAGCACAAAGTAATTCTTTTGCCCTAGCATATTATAAAAGAATTTTTTTTTTCAAAAGTCGATATTTCGAGATATAAATCAACGAGCCAGGCTTCAACATGGCTATGTGCAGTTCCCACATGTAATACTTTTTACATCTCAAGTAACGCAGTGGATAGAGTTGAAGGCACCTGTACGAGAACCTCTGTGATAGGAGGAAGTAGCCCAGAAAAGACAGTGTGGTGGAAAGTGGACCTGGGCGATATTTACAGTATTTACAGTATAAATATACTGTTTAAGGACCTTCCTGGTTATGGTAAGTTAAAAAAATTAATCTATGTTAATGAAAATATGTCAAAAGATGCAATACCAAGTTCTTCACTGTAGAAGGTATAAGCATGTACCTTAATATATCAACACTTTAATTCTGCTTTATTTGTAAAAATAATATTTACCCAGTTAAATGTATCTTCATCAATAAATATAAGGTTGGACTAATGAATGTAAAAAGGTCAGATAATTACTTCCAAAAATTTTAACGGAAGAATAAATGAAGAAAGCTAGAAAATAAATTCTCAAAAACAATACTGTAAGCAGATTTTCTTCGAACCCATCTGTTTGCATTTAACTTGCATGTTTGTTCCAATGCGTCGTCTTCATCAGTTCTTTTCCTGGCCTACGATAAAATCATAAAACGCGTTGCTCTATGCAACTCTTATCTTTAAATTGATTTATACCTTAATCAAGTTCGTCAGGTAAAATTTTAAAAAATGTGGTCATATATACCAAAATAGGGATCTGTTTAATTAAATTATGTTTTTAGGTTTGTAAGAACATGATGGGTGTTCTGCCACGATAATTGGCCTTATTCAGCAGAAAGTTAACCATATGAAATTGGTAAAAAGCTGTAACAAACAAATTATGAAAATTAAATGACAGCTATGGCTATCCATAGAAAAAATATACAAACAGGTGTACTTATCAGTTATGACTAAAGCAAGCAGATAAAAATTTACGCAATGATAAAATACTGTGTGATAGTAAAGCGTATTGCTTCGAAAAACATTATCATCAAATTTATAGATGACAATGCATGAATCAAAAACTGATGTTCATTATGGAGCACCATACTCCGAGTAAATGGAATTTAAAGACAATCTGATTAAAATCAGATTCTTTGATCCGCTCACATAGATCGCTACACAAGGATCTGAAGAAACCCCGTTTAGGGTCATCTCCTGGTAACCTTTCAAATAAAAATATTCATTAAAGTTTTGACCAATCAGAGAGATCGTACTTAAGGACTGACCCTCTGCTCAAAATTTCACAATTAAAACTTCCCAATATTGATTTTCATCAGGAGCTATAGCATCAGCTTTAAATGGAAAACAGTATGAGGTATGAAGCGCTGCTTATTTTGTTAAAAAATGATTTTTATGTCGGATCATGATATGAAGAACTTTTAACACAGAGGATAGTAAGAGTAAAGATTTAGTATCACAACATAAAATTAAAAACATGAGGTATACATGAAAATATTATTTAGTATTATACCTATTAAATTCATATTAGAAAAAAATAATAAAGTGATGATTCCTAAGTCAGAATATCACAATTTTGTATGTAGTTGTAAGAAAAGAATACATCTGTTAGCAAGAGTTATCTTTCTTATAAATATTTTTTTTTCATTGGAAAAAAATATAATACTAATAAATATTCTACATTTGGTATTTGAAAAATTAATCCATTTTTAAAATGGTCCTTAAAAAGATAGAACTTATTCAATTTATAAGGTTTTTATCACTGAATTTAAAGCATTTTTTGTTAAATATAATAAAACAATTTGAAAAGTATGGGCAAAGGAAATAGAAGGTAATGTTTCCATCGTAAATTAAGTTTGATCGAATTGACTACTCCAAGGTCCCTAAAATGAATTTCTGATAGAGAAAACTATGAGTAGTATTCGTATTTCTTACTTGGAAAGTTATCTTTCTTATCATAGGGTCGGTACCCCTTAAGCGACATTCGGAAAAATGAATGTAGAAGTGAAAGTAGCGGTTTCGTACAAAACAAACAGGAAAAAACAAGGCAAAAGCAAATACTAAATATATTTCTGTACAGAAAAGACCGTGGTCATTCTTTGGACAGGCTACGGAAACCAGGTCGTGATTTTCGGGTCTTTCACTTCTGTAACTGAATTCCGAGATACTTCTAAATTCTCTTAAGCAAACGTTTGATTGGATAATTGAGAGGTCACCAGGAGATGACCCTGAATGGGGTTTCTTGTGTAGCGATCTATGTGAGCGGATCAAAGGATCTGATTTTAATAAGATTGAATTTAAATATTTACAAAGTTTACGAATATGTAAAGATTAGCATCAACAGCAATTTACACACAAGTTAACGATATAATAAGCGAATATAATCATTTGACATAAAATAAAATCTATTAACAACTTACACTGTAGATAGCAGGGGTTCTAAATGGACAAGAAATCCAACGTTCGAGTATGGCGGCAATCTCAGACACAAATAACTCGTACAATAAATGATAAGTTCGTACCTCAAACTATTCAATAAAAAAAATAGCCAAATAGCGAGATAATTAAAATGAAGTTATAACACTCCCCGTCTGATAACTGTCTTGATATCACAAAGTTTTCACAATCATGAGTTCACTCTTCTATCAAAACTACCAAGTCCGTCACGGGTCTGATGTATGAGAGAGTCTTTCCATCCTTGCTAATGCGAACTTCCACCGTACGAACTAGGTTATCCTTACCGGGAAACACTTTTATCACAAGCCCCAGTGGCCACGTGTTTCGATGGTTTCTATGTCCTCAAGCAGTACGACGTCACCCACATTAATCTTCCTTTGATCTTGATGCCACTTCCTCCGAATCTGTAACGTGTGTGTATCAATATCATAGTAAGTCTTCATAAGGAGATTGGAGTGTTTATTCAACTCAGCATCGCATGTCATGGTTTACAAATTTCGGCAAAAGTTTAATCTGTGTCGCTTAGGTGCTGTACAAAATCAGACTTTTAACTGAGGCCGCTGATGTACATAAAAATTGGTACTATATTTAGCTATAATGTTCAAACACTGTAATATTGTTACAGTGTACAGATATTCCTTCTTCCATCTATCCCAAAACATCTCGGAAAGGTGTTGAACTCTTTTCCACTGTACCCTCAGCATCCTTGTTGCAAACTTCTTCATTCAGAGTGTCTGTCTTTTGAGTTAGTAAGATATTTGGTGTGAGAATGAAAGGTGAGTCTGTATTTGTAGGAATGACAGTCAGTGGGCGTGAGTCCTTGAGTGCTATGTTTCTTTAACATGTTGTTTAGGATATGGCGTATTCACCCCAATCAATCGCTCCCATACGCCACACATGAGTGATGCATGGGGGGGGGGGGTAAAGATCCAGACAGTTCCTTCTGAGTACAGTAAGTCTTTAATTTGTGGATCCTCTATGTTGGTAGCATTGATATGAAGTGGATCAACAGCACCAACAAAGTTGGTTCCCCTGTCTGAACGATATTTTTTCACACATTCTCGTATGGCGGTGAGTCTTCTGAAGGCATTGATAAAGCACGAGGAAGACATCTCCCCCAGGATCTCAATGTGTACGGCAAGCGTCACCAGACAAGTAAACAATGCTGCCCATTTCTTGCTATTTGCTGAACCTCCTTTGGTTCGAATTCATCACTTCCCATGGCCCGAAAATATCTACACCGACTGATGTGAAAGGTGGCTGTCCTGGTTCAATGCTATCTTCTGGTGGGTTAGACATTTTCTGGGTGTTACATTGCCTTCGCTGCCTTCTGCAAGTTACGTACTTGTGAATAATTGAAGAAACAAGACGCTTACAGCCTGTTATCCAGTATCCCATTGATCTAACTTCCCCTTCTGTAAAATGCTGACCTTGATGCATAACTAGTTGATGGCACTTACGAATCAACAAGTTTGCTATGTTTTGCTTTCCTGACAGTAGGATGGATTTTTTGCAGATAGCATCAGTTTGCAGGTGCGTCAAACGTCCACTTACTCGGACGATTCCTTCGTCATCGATGAATAGGTTTAAGGTAAGTACATAGCTGTTCTTTGGTATTGGTTGACTTGAGCGGAAGCAGTCAATTTCTTCATCATAGACTTCCTGTTGCACTGCCTTGATCAAGAAGCGCTCAGCTTTTTGGTAGTAGCTCAATGATTATGGCAGTATCAGTGATTTGTCTTCATTCCTGTACACTGTGAAGCGTTTCAACAATGCTATGCTCTCCACAAAACGATCCCAGTCCGAAAAATCGCTCAAACCTCATAGTGTCAAGCAATGGTTTACACTCTGTCTTTAGACAAATACGTCGGATTTCCTTGTCCACATAAGGTTCAACTAGTGGAAAGATTCTGGCCAAGTCATCCCGATCACCCAGATGAGCATCCACTGGTCCATTCAACCAAGAATTTCCTGTCACACTTGATTATTTTTAGACTAACACGTAGAGCTTTCGCACGTCGTAAAGTAAGTTCATAATTGTTCGGTAGAGTTTGTCGTGGTTTACCAAATGGTAGAGGAGCTACCCACTTTCCATCTGGACCTATGAGTGACTTTTCCTTCATAATATTTATGAACATTCTTATCTATCTTCCACAGATGTTCCAATCTTATTGTCATTACTTGTATGTTGGAACAAACCCTCACCTCGATCAATGTTACAGTGTTCTTTGTTGAGATCAATTCTTGAAAACTGGTCTTTCACCGAGATAAACTGGTCACATGGTTCAAGAATAATTCTGCGGCCATTCTCAATTATGAAGGTTTTGTACACTGTTGCGACCTCTGGATTTGTTTTCCTGATAAACATGTATCACCAATAATCGCCCAGCCTTATGGTGAACTTTGAGCGAAGGGTTCTTCATCCTGTCCTATTCGTTGTTCTATCACATGATGAGCTTGAGGAAGGTCTCTTCCTATCAGTAACATGATTTTCTTTGAAGTGTCCACTGGTGAAAAAGATCTCACAGTATCTCGCATGTGAATAATGAACTGCCACTTCTGGGGTGGGAATCTCTAAATATTTGTTTGGTATTTCATCACACTCCAGAACACACGGAAGTTGAAGCCTTGTCTGACTGTCCGCTGACCCAATGGATAATCCTGATGCTGTTCTGCCTGATGTCATCACCTGTCCAGAACATGTCATCAGATACTGGATCATCTGTGATTTGATGCCCAATGAGTCGAATAACTCATTCCTTGCTAAAGTCTTGTTACGTTGATCGTCTAGCATAACATATAGAGAGACAGATTTTCC